CCAGTGCCTCCCAGTGCCCCCCAGTCCCCTCCCAGTGTCCCCAGTGCCTCCCAATCGCCTCCCAGTCCATCCCAATCCCCTCCCAGTGCCCCCCATCCCCTCCCAGTCCATCCCAGTTCCACCCCCCGTCCCCTCCCAGTTCCCTCCCAGTTCCCCCAGTTCCCCCGTGCCCACCGCAGCTCCTCGGCCGGAGTCGGGGGCAGCAGGGCCTGGCTGCCCACGAGCACCAGGGGCCGGACAGCCCGGCTGAGCAGCTCGGAGCAGCGCTGCACCTGGGAGTGACCCCAAAAGGGCCGGGATTAACCCCAAAAACAGCCCCGGACAGCCCCAAAACCACCACTGACCCCAAACCAGCCCGGAGTAACCCCAAACCCCCTAATCCATCCCAAAAATCCTTCAATCCATGCCAAAAACCCCATCCCCAACCCTAAAAACCCCAAGACAACCCCCAAGAAAACCAAAAAATCAACCCCAAAAAAGACCCCAAAACCCCATAAAATCCCAATAAAAAGAAACAAAAATCAACCCCCCCAAAAAAACCCCCATAATCCACCCCAAACCCCTTCAGCGCACCCCAAATCCCTTCAACGCACCCCAAAACCTTTCAGCGCACCCCAAACCCCTTCAGCGCACCCCAAACCCCACAGATCCTGGGTTTTCTCCCCATTTTGGGGTCCCCACCTGCTCTGGGGTGGCTTTGGGGACGCGCAGGGGCAGCGGGGTCAGGTCCCGCGGCTCCCAGGCCCCGGCGAAGAGATTCTGCAGGTAATTCCCCAGGTACCTGCGGGGTTTGGGGGGTTTTATAGGATTTGGGGGTTTTTCGGGGTTTTTTAAATCTTTTTGGTGGGGTTTTTATGGGGTTTCAGGGATTTTTGGGGTTTTTTTGTTTGTTTTTTGTTGTTTTGTGGAGGTTTTGGGGGGGTGAGGTTTTAGGATTTTTTTGGTTGCTGTTTGGGTTTTTTTTTTTAATGATCCGATTTTTTTTTAGGGAGTTTTTTGGAGGGCTGGGATTTTTAGAGGGGATTTTTGGGGTTTTGGGATTTTTTAGCGGGGTTTATGGGTTTTCGGGGGGGTTGTTTCTTGGTGATTTTTTGTTTTTCATTATTTTGGGGGAGGAGTTTTTTGTTTTTTTTGAGGTTTTTGGGAGTTTTTTTTATTTTGGGGGGGGTTTTTTGTGTGTTTTTTGTTGTTTTTTTGTATTTTTTTTTGTGGGGGTATTTTTGGGGTATTTTGGGGTATTTTTGGGGTGTTTTGGGGGTGTTTTCTCACCACCGGATGAGTTTCCCCCGCAGCCCCCGCGGGGTTTTGGAGCCCCCGAGCTCCTTCTGGACCACGTGGAAGGGGTAGAGGACATCGATGGGCAGCTCCACGAACACGGGGCCTGTGGGGCACCCCAAAAACCCCAAATCCACGCGGATCACCCCAAAACCCCTTCAAGGGGCTCTGAGACCCCAATTCCCACAGCAGGACCCCCCCAAAAAACCCCAAAAACCTCTGGGAACCGACCCCAAACTCCTCAAACAGCCCCAAAATTGTCCCCAAACCCAAAACTCCATCCCCAGACACCCCAAAAACCCCCAAATCTGTGGGGATCGCCCCAAAATCCCCCTGGGAATCAATCCCGAATTCCCCGGCCCACGGCTGATTTGGGGATCCCTCCTCCCCAAAAATCCTCTCCGCGGGAGTTTTGGGAATTCCTCCTCTCCCGAATTTCCGCCAGAGGAATTCTGGGGTTGCTCCCCCCGTCCCCAAACTCCTCACGGGGGGAGATTTTGGGATTCCCTCCCTCCCGGATTCCCCAGCCGATCTGGGGACCCCCAATCCCGGGGGAGTTTTGGGATTTCTCCTTCCCCAAACCAAATCCCGGGGGAATTTTCGGGGGGGGATTTCGGGGGAATTTTGGGGGGGGTTTTGGGGGGATTTCAGGGGATTTTGGGGGGAATTTTGAGGGAATTTCAGGGGATTTTGAGGAGATTTTGGGGGAATTTCGGGGGATTTTGGGACGTCGCCGTGTCCCCACCGGGTGTCCCCTCCATGGCGGTGGCGATGGCCCGGCGCAGGGTGGGGACGATGTCGCGCACGGCCCGGACGGAGAGCGCGGATTTACAGAGAGTTCGGAACAGCGGAACCTGCGGGATGTCCTGGAGCGCGCCCCGGCCCTGGAACCGGGAACGGGAATTCGGGAATGCGGGAGTGGGAACCGGGAATTCGGGAATGGGAACCGGGAATCCGGGCATGGGCACCGGGAATGCGGGAATGGGAACCGGGAATGCGGGAATGGGCACCGGGAATTCGGGAATGGGAACCGGGAATGGGAACCGGGAACGGGAATTCGGGAATGCGGGAGTGGGAACCGGGAATGCGGGAATGGGAACCGGGAATGGGAACCGGGAATCCGGGAATGGGAACCGGGAATGCGGGAATGGGAACCGGGAATGCGGGATTGGGAACCGGGAATCCGGGAACGGCACCGGGAATTCGGGAACGGCACCGGGAATTCGGGAATGAGCCCCTGGGATTCTGGGAACGGCCCTTGGGAATCCGGGATGGGCACCGAGAGTGCCGGGAATGGCACCGGGAATTACGGGGGTTCGGGAATGGGCAGCGGGAATTTGGAAAAGCCGAGAATCCCGCTGGGGGAGGGCGTTTTTTGGGATGTCCCCACCTTCTGCAGGGAGGCGGCGGCGCCGCCCAGGAGCAGCAGGGGGGACTCGGCCATCTGCGCGTTCTTGACGGCTGTCACCGCGTTGGTGACACCGGGACCCGCCGTGACGGCGGCGACGCCGATGCGACCTGCGGGGACAGCGGGGGTGGCTCGGGGACACCAGGGGGGCACCAGGGGGACACCAGGGGGGCACCAGGGGGACACCAGGGTGGCACCAGGGGGACACCAGGGGGGCACCAGGGGGACACCAGGGTGGCACCAAGGACGGATCTGATCCAGGAGGGGACAAATGGGAACAAACCCCCCCCCCCC